GAGCATTTGTCTATGGGCGGATGCTTACCCTATATTGGGTAAATAAAAATTTAGATCCAAACCTTAAAATTACTTATTCATTCCATTTACCTGAAGCAGACGAGTATCTGTCTTAGTGTCCTGTTGTCAAAAAGCCGCGTATACAAAAACATTTATCTGCCTCCAGTCATCCCTCCGTCGTAACACCAACCACTAGAAAGTACATATAAATGGAGTCTTTTTTTATCTTTTCTTTTTCCCTTTTCCTTTTTCCTTTCTTTTTATTTTTTATTTTTTATCTTTTAACATCAATAAGTCAGTTTTTTTTTAAAAACAATAACTTTTATTCGCTCTTGTTTTTGGAAACCATGTAACTGAATAAACGTCTGGGCTTACTTTATTGCAATTATACCACGGTACATTCATCATTCTATCTCTGAATTCTCTCCCCTTACTTATCTCTCTTTTAAATCAGCATAGACAGGTGTATAAAGGCCGTGCTTGCAGCTTACTACGCCAGTGCTATATGTAAGTGTTTTTTGTTTACGGCTTTTTCTTTCTCTGATTATCTCTTCGGACTTACGCTTCCTGCTTCTACCTTTGTGGCGGCTACTCTGTTTAGAAAAGGAATAACGTATCAATTTTGATTCTTCTCATCATAAACTAACCTAATATTCATTTAGCAAATTTTGGCTATCTCCCTTGTTTTTAGATTATACGTTGCTTCCTATAAAAAATAATCAATGCCTCCATGTTATGCCATGTACCGTTTACTTTTTAGATCATTTAAGTAGTAATTCTTCTACATAGCAATTTGTCCTAAGTTATCAAAATATAAATAAATCAAACTTTCATTCTTTTAAATAAAATATATAATCAACTCTTTAAACTGGCAACCAATTTTTTCAAACGAATGAGTATTAAATGATTCAATATGTATAAACGAAAGTTTTTTATTTCGCTGAAGGCTGAAAGGGAGAGCTGATTATAAAATATACACCCCCTTAATTATGCATTTAATCCAGTTTTTTTTTTTTTTTTTTTTTTTTTTTTGCGGAAATGGGTAAATGCTTACTATAAATTCGTCTACACGAGTAAATGGGTAAATTTACCCAATTCGTTTTTTTGGGTAAATGTGTAAATTTACCCAATTCGTTTTTTTTTGGGTAAATGGGTAAATACTTACTAAAAATTCGTCCAAATGGAGAAATCAGAGGAAACATTATAGCCTTGGTGTTTATAGTTATTTAGCATAAACATAAGCAGTGACAACGCTTACTGAGCCATTACTTATTTATGACAGATATTTGATGATTGATGGCTGAAACGTAGATGACAAGGTGCTAACAAAGAATTACCAAAATTAACTCATCTACGTGACATGACCATGATACCTTTAAAAAGGAATGTATTTGATTAATCTTAAAGTTAATTAAGAAAGAAATAAGTATTGTGTCATGGGTTAAATTATTAAAGTTTATTACTTTGAATTAGAAATAGAAAAAAAGAATTTTTTATTATAAATCATATATAAAGTCTTCCTTGTCCCAGCTTCACATATATTCTGATTCACATTTTTTAAGGCTGGGGATATACCCATTGTCCGTCATTGGCGGAATTGATTGACTGCATAATAGTCACGACAACCTATCAACTGATCTACATCAGCAGGTGCTTCCAAAGTATGCTATTAGATGGATCTCGTTCTACTCCTCCCATTAACCTTTGGTCCATGCTTATCAAGAACTTTTAAGTTATTCGTAGCCTGTAAAAAAAAAGGTAAAGAAATTCATATAGTAAATATTTCAGCCAGAATAATTAATATCTTTACTACTTTATTGCTACGTTACATGGGTTTTTTGACATACAATGGTTTCTCGATATTACTGTCAAGCATATTCAATCGATTGGAATCATTATCAGTCTCCTCTTCAAACATGTATTTCATTACAATGAACCTGTTCACGTGGTCCAAAGTCACATTACTATTTTCAAATTTAGCCTTGACGGCAGGCAGATTTCATGCAAGGCTTCGTCTTTTTCAATTTCTAACTTATAAGGTATGTTCATGATACAGATAACTGTTTGTCTTGAACTAATTTATTCCTTTCTTTTGTAAAGCTTTTGTTTCAACTTCTTCTCTTCGGCTTTCTTGGCGTCCTCTAGTTTTTCCTCTTCTGTCAAAACGGGGATAGCCTTCGAACTTTTTTTTCCACTCGCGACGCATACTGTTAAATCGAGTTTTATTCTCATCTCAATTTCATCCTTCAGATCTATCATGCTAGCTTTGCCGTTGATATCGATCATTTTCCCTGTGATTTCAGTATACTTGGACAAAATATGTGCACCAACTATATCGGCAACATTGGGATTATCTCCTTGACAAAATTGGATTTTGACATTAAACTGGTCCTGGTCCTTTAACTTCCATATTTGTTTTCGAATAGCAGTCTAACAAAAGGTCAAAGTTTGCTCACCATGATATATTTGATTTTACTTACTGTCAGTCTAGGATTGTTATCCTTCTTTTTCTTTTCGATCTCACCGAACGTTTCCACCAAAGTTTCAGTATTGACGGCGCCACCAGTGCCAGTATCTACATTTATTGCAACATCTTCAGAATCAACAAAGTTGGTTGTCTCGTCCAAAGTTTTATTGACAACCATGTCGCGTGGGCGCAATTTGCTGATCGCAGCTGTCTGGTGCTTAAACAAACCTTCAAGTTCTTCTAGTTGGTTTTCCATCAATTGGATTTGATTTTCTGCCACTGATCTGAAGTTATTGTAAAAACCGTCTCGAAGCCTTTCTTCCATGGAATTGAAACAACGTTCGAGAAGAGCTGCCATTTGGTTTCTAAATTTTTCTTCAATTTCCATCTTCTGTTGTTCGAATTTCTGATCAAGTTGAGTTGCAGCTCTATTCATTTCGGCTCTGATGGTTTCCTGAATCAAATTAACAAGTGAACTGTTGTCTACCTAGTCACGCGTTCTTTTTTGTGTTGCTTTTTTCATATTTTTGATAGTAAGGTAAGTGAAACACGGTAGTATCACTGTTTTAGTATAATTTATAGTTAAGAGCATCCACGATGGTCACACGTCAAATGTAAAATAAAGTTTTTCGCCTCGAGCAACGACAAAAATGTTTTGTTTGTCTTACCCCAATAAGACCAGTTAATCTTTAATTAATTGAATAAATCATTCCTTCTCCCTTCTTCAAGGAAATAAACATTATTAACTATTATGACAACGACGAGTAAAAAAAAACAACTTTTTTATTGTTTTTTTAGACAGATGCGTATGTTTCTATCAACTGCTGGAGTTGATTTAAATTACTGATTGAACCTTGATTAAACCTTATTTGAACGTCAATTGAATGTCCCCTTTTTTTTTTCTGATGAAAAAGGATTTATTTTATTTTTCTTTTATTTCTCTTTTATTTTCCTTGTATTTCTCATTTATCTTCCCTATTACATCTATTATATCTATTTTTTTTTTTAAAAAAAAATTGCTATCAGACTTGCAAGGTAATTATTGAACCACTGTTCTTTTATGCGCTCTAATTATATCATGTATTTTAGATTATGAGGTTGATCAACCATACATCTGTGGATCGAAAGGTGACCTAATATTTTACAAATACTTTTTTTACCGTTCTGTCTATCCAAAGGTATGGGGTTATGATTACAATTGCCAAGTTTACACAACTCATTGTTTTATTTTCAGTGTCATAATAGTTGGTGTAGGGGATATGTATCCTGATGTATAAATGTCTAACATGGTATGTGATAGAAACGTTTGACTGATGTATTTTTATGAAGCCTTCCTTAAGTCTAGGAACGGCTGTCGAGAATATCAAGTGAATAATTATGGCTTAAACATGTATGAAGTTCTGCCACTTTTTTTTCTAATGTCTTTTACAAACATGTTCTTCACTTTTGGCTGTTCCGACAGGTAACTAATCGGGGGCGGGGAGGGGGAGGTTGCGTAAAATAATCATAAAAATTAAAATAAGATTCTTTTGCAATATAAATTGCTAGACCCAAACTGTTCTTTAATCGAGGATTACATTTATAGATAAAATCATTTATTCTATGGCTTTAATATTACATTTTTTTATAATAAATCGTTTATTTATACATACCTAATTTACCCACTGTCCACACATTGAACTGATATTTGATCCCCCTTTTGTTTTTTTTGTTATCCTATTCATCATCTATCTATTTGTATCTCTAAATTATCTAATCGTTATTTTATAAGCAGCAAAGCTTATTCCCAATGCGTCATAGACTACTGATGTAAGACTAACAATAAACTCAATAGATGGGTTTCATGTCCAATCGGATGGCCTTAGTATATCGTCATATATCTTTGTTTAAAGTCAATATTAAAGTTTAAAGTTGTCTTTTCCATGAACATATCCCAAAAATTTGAAAAGACAACTTTTAAATTACATGAAAAAAGTAGAGTATATCTTGGTTTTCTTTGGGAAAACGACTTGTCTTTCATGGTATTTACTGTAATTATTCTTAAGATAAAAGTCCTGTTTCTTGCACTGAATAGTCGTGTCTGGTCGACATGATTGGTCCATTCTGGTTTTTAGCTTCTTTATTAGTGTGTATTTAGCGTTCTTTTAGCTTACAATTTTCTCTCTCTTTCTTTTACTTTTATTTATCTTTTAAAATAAATAGCCTTCAAAAAACGATCGTAAGGGTATATAGCCCCTTCAAAATAACGGAAAGTGTGAACAAATATGTTGGAATTGGGTATGTTTGCAATGACTGAAGCAATGACATGTAATCAGTATATAAAACTAAAGGTTTTTTTTAGATAAAAATTTAGCCTATCTTTGTTATTTTCATCAAACTAAAGTACATCTTTATATTATAACCATTTTCCATAGATAATGGTTCTCATCAATAGACGGTTCTATCTTCACAGTTAAATAGCCTTTAAAAAGTTATGTTTTATTCTTATTGATATCATACTGCTTACATATAGACTATTTATTCTGTGTACCTTTCACTCAAACGACAAAATTTTAGGAACACTACCAGTCAAATAATCATCGACATCAGAACTTAAGGCTGGTAATAAAATGCAGAATTAATTACAATATCACTATTTTCTAACAATACCTTTATAGAGTGTTAAGAGTGTCAAAGGTAAGCTAAAGTAACATCCCAGCATTATAATGGTATATCTTATTGACATGTATACAACCACAAATCTAAATAAAAAGGTTGAAGTTATATCAAACCCTCCTATACACCACGGAAATATAAATAAACAATCCATAAAATGTGCTTTAGTGCCAATAATAACAATGAACAAGAAAATGTGAGCCTGCCAAATACAAAAGAATGGGTCTAAAGAATGGTTAAGGGTTTGTCCGTTTAAAATAATGGCAACTGCGAACGTTTTGTTATTATAGATCATCATAACTGCCACTTTTACAAGCCAGGAAAATGGAAGCTGTGAATGATTTGTCTTCAACAAACTAAATAGATGCCATTTTTTAAAACAAAAGAACAGCAGCTATGAACATCTTGGCTTGATTCAACTGTTAAAGGTGCCATTTTTACTGGCCAAAAATATGGCAGCTGTGCCTGTTTTATTATTATAGAATATCATATCTGCCACTTTTGCACGCCGAAAAAATGGCAGTTTTGTGAAGTAAATGTCAAATATTTGCCATTATTTCCGCCATAGTGAAAAAGTATGCCCGATAGATGTCGGGCAGTAAAAAGAGCATGTAGCTCAAATACCACATAAAAACGGAATTAAATGATTTTTTTCTTTAGAAAATACATCTATATATTGCTGTTTCTGTTGAGCTTCGTAGAGTTTGAGATACCTTCTATTCATAAGTTTTTGGTCTTGAAAAATGCATGGTTGTACTTTCAGCGCGGAGCTGTAGACGTGGGAAGATTTATCCTGCTGATAGGAGGTGATTTCTAGAATCTTCATTTGCCTACAGGTACAGGTAATAACTATGAAAGAGTAAAAAAAAAAAAAAA